GATTTGGGTTCCTTCAGGCCCCGAAGTCCAGCTGGTAAGGATCTTCAATTGATCCACCACCTCGTGGAGGAAGGCCCAATCAGAGGCTGCTTGAGTTATCAGCAACTGATTGGTTTTTTCTTGTAATCGGGTAGCCTCCTGGAGTGCCATCTCCTGCATCCGGGTGGACCTCTTGTTGAGGCATTGTGGCTTGGACCAGAGATTTGGGTTCCTTCAGGCCCCGAAGTCCAGCTGGTAAGGATCTTCAATTGATCCACCACCTCGTGGAGGAAGGCCCAATCAGAGGCTGCTTGAGTTATCAGCAACTGATTGGTTTTTTCTTGTAATCGGGTAGCCTCCTGGAGTGCCATCTCCTGCATCCGGGTGGACCTCTTGTTGAGGCATTGTGGCTTGGACCAGAGCTTTCACTATGTCTACCATTAGGATGAGCCTTTGATCCCAATCAAACAAAAAGTAGTGCTTGGAGAGGGGGGCTGGAGAGTAAAGAGAAAAACCCCAATGCCAGCACCTAGGTGAAAACATGTTTTGTTTTGCTTTTCCTTTGACTCTCGTCATTCTGCTGCGCTGTGAAAAATCCCACTCCGACAGCAGTCGTGGCACAGTTCTAGCTATGCCCTATGCGTCTCGTGCTACTGGTGGATGATAATAGCCTCAGATTCATTGTGGTCCTATACACAACTCCTTTCTCTTTACAAGAGGCCAGGTCCACAGCTTAGTGAGCTATACTCATCACAGGCTAGGCCGTGGTTTTGGGGAGAAAACCCCTTGATAGTCCTGGTCTCCTTTCTTGGAACAGGCTTTGTGTTGGTGTGGGGGAAACCTGGACCCGCCTACTACTCTGGGTTACGGCCTGAGGACTCTAAAGTAGTAGCTGCAGTCAAGGTTGTTTTTCTTTCTGACTTGGCAACTTTTTCCCTGGGTCACTTCCCAAAACAACCCCTCCAAAGCGTCTCCCTACGGTACCTCTTAACCTGCTCTCAACTCATACACACCTTCTTGTTCTCCTCCTTATGGTCCGTCACTCTTTGTCTTCTACCTCTCCTTACATAGGGGAGGCTTTTTAAAGCAACCCCACTGGCTATAATTGGCTGCAGGTGTTGAGTGACTTGCCTATGGGAGCAATCTAATTAATTAGCCTCAGGCATTTTCCTGCCTTCATTTTATTACAGCAGGCTCTAGCAGTTTATTCTGGAAAGAGAAAACCATGTAGCCAGTGCCCTGTATACCTGCCTTCTACTAAAAAGTGTGGCAGGCTGCTGGGTTAGGTCTGTCACAATATATACTCTCTTCTGTCTTCTGAAAAAAAATTCCCTGGAATCTAAGCCCCACCCTATTTACATTCATTCTTATGAGGAAACTGGATTTGCTTATCATTGTTCAAGTAAACATTTTCCAGGAACATAACTACAACTTAAGCAAGGAATTACCGTATTGGAATTTTTAATATGCATTTTTCACCTGAGATTGTCTCTTTAAGAAAGGAAGACCTTGCTGTAATTGCTTCAGCATCAATAAATGAATCACTTGCTGGCAGAAACTATACAGCAAGTCAAGGAAACTGGGAAGAACAAATGGACAAAGGAAATTAACAAGGCAGAAGTGACAGCATCCCTCCTTCTAAGCTCTGTACCATACACAATAACATTCACACACAACACAAAAATCTACGTCCTTAATGAGACAGCACTAAAATCTAAAAGATTATGTGTGTTCCAGTGAGCAGGATGAAACATAGATCTACCTCTGAAATAGCCAGGCTGGCTAGGAGCCTGATTTGCAATCACAAACACTACTCTTTGCTAAGAGGACAAAGGTTATTTAGGTCCTTACCTTCAGCAGCTCATCCTCACCAGCATCAGGAAATTTCTCATGCAGTGAATCTTTCAGAACCTTAGCAATGAAGCGCATGCCATAACTGCAAAAGAAACAAGACGACAAGTAAGACCTTTGGGAGCATGATGTCTACAACAGTTTTCATAAAGCAATGGTACAGTCCATTGGTACTCACGGGATTTTCTCCACTGAGCTGATGATGGCTGTCAGGAACTTGTCTGTCACTGTCCGCATGTTTTTGATGGACGCATCTAGGCGTGTTCTCACCTCTTCATGGGCCAAGGCTTGCTCAGATGTAACATCATATGGTAACTTACTGTTAAACAAAACCCACAACTGAATGAGGTCTGAACATTCCTTTCAGCAAGATGGCTGGCTGTCCTCTTTTCAACTATCAGCTTGAAAAGAATATAACATAAGAACAGCCGTACTGGGTCAGACCAAAGGTCCATCTAGCCCAGTAGCCTGTCTGCCGACAGTGGCCAACACCGCTCTCTCCACACCACTCATGATTTTATAGACCTCTATCATATCCCCCCCTCAGTCTCCTCTTTTCTAAACTTAAAAGTCCCAGTCGCTTTAACCTCTCTTCATATGGGACCCGTTCCAAATCCCTAATCATTTTAGTTGTCCTTTTCTGAACCCTTTCAAAGGCCAAAATATCTTTTTTGAGATGAGGAGACCACAAGATATGGGCGTAGCATAGTTTTAAACAAGGGCAGTAAGATATTCTGTGTCTTATTTTCTATCCCTTTCTTAATAATTCCTAGCATCCTATTTGCCTTTTTGACTGCCGCTGCACACTGTGTGGAAGTTTTCAGAGAACTATCCACGATAACTCCAAGATCGCTTTCCTGACTTGTCGTAACCAAATTAGCCCCCATCATACTGTACCTATAGTTGGGGTTATTTTTCCCGATGTGTATTACTTTACACTTATCCACATTAAATTTCATTTGCCATTTTGTTGCCCAATGCTCTGTTTGGTGAGATCTTCTTTGGAGTCCCTCACAGTCTGCTTCTGTCTTGACTATCCTAAACAGTTGGGTATCATCTGCAAACTTTACCATCTCACTGCTTACCCCTTTCTCCAGATCATTTATAAATAACTTGAAAAGGATTGGTCCCAGGACTGACCCTTGGGGGACACCACTAGTTACCCTTCTCCATTCTGAAAATTTACCATTTATTCCTACCCTTTGTTTCCTGTCTTTTAACAAGATCTCAATCCAAGAAAGGACCTTCCCTCTTATCCCATGGCCATGTAATTTACACAAGAGCCTTTGGTGAGGGACCTTGTCAAAGGCTTCCTGAAAATCCAAGTATACTATAGCTACTGGATCCTCCTTGTCCGTATGTTTGTTAACCCCTTTAAAGAACTCTAATAGATTAGTAAGACAGGATTTCCCTTTACAGTAACCATGTTGACTTTTATCCAACAAATTGTGTTCTTCTACATGCTTCACAATTTTATTCTTTATTATTGTTTCGACTAATTTGCCCGGTACTGAAGTTAGACTTACCGGTCTGTAATTGCCAGGATCGCCTCTAGAGCCCTTTTTAAATATTCACGTTGGCTACCTTCCAGTCATTAGGTACGGAAGCCGATTTAAGGGATAGGATACAAACCACAGATAATAGCTCAGCAATTTCCCATTTGAGTTCTTTTAGAACCCTTGGATGAATGCCATCCAATCCCGGAGATTTGTTAACATTGAGTTTTTCTATTTGTTCCGAAACCACCTCTAATGACACTTCAATCTGGGACAGTTCCTCAGATTCACCACCCACAAAGGACGGTGCAGATTTGGGAATCTCCCCAATGTCCTCAGCTGTGAAGACTGAAGCAAATAAATCATTTAGTTTCTCTGCAATGGCTTTATCGTCCTTGATTGCTCCTTTTATAGCTCAATCATCTACGGGACCCACAGGCTTTTTAGCAGGCTTCCTAATGTACTTAAAAAACATTTTGTTATTTCTTTTTGAGTTTTTGGCTAGCTGTTCCTCAAATCTTTTTTTGCTTTTCTGATTACATTTTTACACTTGATTTGACAGTGTTTATGTTCCTTTCTATTTATCTCACTAGGATTGGACTTCCACTTCTTAAAAGATAACTTTTTGTCCCTCACTGCTTCTTTTACATGGTGGTTAAGCCACGGTGACTCTTTTTTAGGTCTCTTGCTATGTTTTTTAATTTGGGGTATACATTTAAGTTGGGCCTCTATTATGGTGTCTTTAAAAAAAAGAAAAGTACCATTTAGCCCTAATTTGCTTGGCTGGTAAGAAAATATGGCTACTTATCTCAAAGAATACTATAGTAACTATGGGGTGTATTGTCCACACAAGTTCCCCACCTGGGTGTACACCACCAAACAAGAAGATATTTGTGTCTTTCTAACAGTTGTGTCTGTTGGGGCCAGGCCTGCATCCTCGGAGCCCTTGTGACTTCTGTAACTGAGAGTATCAAGGGTGGGGTGACCTTAAGCACTTCTCAGTAAGAATCCTTGTGGTCGAGACCAGTGTTCCCTCTAACTATTTCCATCCTTGGATGGGTTGAATTTTCTTTTGGGCGGGTTGAATTTTTTTATGTGCACCACCAATATTGAGGTTGTATGTGAATGTGCAGTGTGTCCCAATACAAACAAAAAACCTAGGTATAAATATATATTTTGAACAGTCCACATGTATGGAAGGCAATAATTAAAACGAGGGATAATTAACGAGGAACAATGTTTAATATGTTTATGTAATATGAAATCAATTAAAGAAATCTAATAATACCCTTGGAGCAAATGTATTATCCTTTCTAACAACTCAAACTAGTAAACACACCAAAATGGAGCATACTATAAATAGCTATATAAATAAATCAAAGACATGGCTGTTAAGTAAAAGCCTAAAAAATATACAAGCTTCAAGATGCTAAACAAATCTATGAATCAAGTAGAAATAAGCATGCTCTTTTTGAAAATATTAATACAATGTTTTCTGACACTGGAAAGAAGAGTAAAAGGTATTCACTCAGGCTTATACATTTTCTCTGGGAAAAGTTTAGGATCCATGCTATCCAAATGAAACAGAGACCTGTAACACAGATAAAAGTTCTTGTTTGAAACTTTCTCCTTGTGTGTGTCACTAACTTGAAAAATAGAAGCCCAGCTCAGGAGAGAGCCCTATGTCTGCAACCCAGCTAGGGCTGCTGTGCTGAGACAGTCAGTCTGCCTCTTGCTGCCTGCAGTCCAGAAGGGAACAAGTTAAGAAACCCCACACAAACTCCCTTCAGCCCCACCTCACTGCACAGAGGCCAGCACCCCCCTGCCCTTATTTTCCTTACCTACCCCGTACTGTCAGCTCCCCCTTCGAGACCAGGACGCAAGAGGAGCATGCTGGGTCTCCTCACAGGAAGTAGCAGGCAAACCCAGCTGCTGTAATCAGATCCCTGTAATCAAACCTCTCCTCTCACCGGATCATACTGCACACTGCAAATGCCCCTCTCTTCTGGCCCCCCTCGTACACCAGCCACAAACTTCCTCCCTTCCTCCCCCTTGTGTCCCCTTCCCTACCAGCATGCTCACTGTCTGGAGCAGGGAGCTTCTGATGCTGAGGGAATGCCCCTCCCCAGCCAGGAAGCTCTCTATGCAGCAGCCCTAAACCTCAATTAGTAGCTGTGTGGCCGCTCTGCCGCACAACTTACACTGAACTTAGGTCAATACTTTAACTAGCAGGGATGGAGAGAAAGTTGTGGAATCTCTGTGGACACTGTATCTCAAAGACTCACAGTTACTGTTGACTTTAAAAGCCTGAGGCAGAGTGACCCGGGGAGCAAAGAGGACAGGGGGCTGCAGACATGAGAGTTTAAGAGGGAGTTTGACAGGAGGCGGCCTACTATGGTCAGGAAGACCTGCAACACCTGTGCCACTACTACTTCCGTCTCCTCCACTTGCAGCCAGACAGAACACCTGACCATGGATGCCTCTACCAAGATCCTGGTGTGGTTTTGCAGGGACTGTGGCTTGCAATTCCCACCTACTGAAATCCAGGCTGGAGGGACCATCCAATGTGAAAGGTGCCTGCTGGTGGAATCTCTCAGGAAGCAGGTGGAAGAGCTACAGGAGGAAGTGCGAGGCTGAGGAGCATCCGAACCCATGAGCAATTCCTGGACAGTATTCGTGTGGAGACAGCTGAGGTAGCTGTCCCACTACACAAGACTGCTGACACATGACTGGTGGTGGAGGAGATGGCTCAGGGGACGGGGGACACTGGCAGCAGGTCACTTCTGGCAGCAGGCAGTGCTCCATCCCTGCCCCCAACCCTCCCACTGTGGTACTGGGAAACCATTACGCTCTCCTTGGTACAGGAGATAAGGAATCACTCTCTTCAGCTGAGAAGCAGAAACCTCGTACCCCCAAGGCTGGGAGGTCTGCTGCCACCACTGTGAGGAGGAAATGTAGGGTAGGGTGGTCGGAGACTCTCTTCAGAGGAGGAAGGAGGAGCCCATCTGTTGCCCTGACATGTCATCTCGGGAGGTATGCTGCCTGCTGGGGGCTCGTATCCAAGGATTATCTGGCCCTCTGACTACTACCCCATGCTACTCATCCATGTGGGCGCTAATGATACTGCAAGGTGTGACACTGAGCGGATCAAGAGTGAAGGAATTTGGAGCACTGGTGGTATTCTTTTCAGTCCTTCCTGTCAAAGGTAGGGGCCCAGGCAGAAACAGATGTATCCTGGGAGGTGAATGCCTGGCTGCAAAGAAGGTGTCCATCAAGAGGACTTTGGTTTCCTCGACCATGGGATGTTATTCCAGGAAGGATTGCTAAGCAGGGATGGGGTTCACCTTTCGAGAAAGGGGCAGACCATATTTGGATTCAGACTGGCTAACCTAGTGAGGAGGGCTTTAAACTAGGTTCAATCGGGGCAGGTGACCAAAGCCCACAGTAAGTGAAGAACATGGAGACCTGGGAGCTGGGTCGGAAATGGGAGGGAGTGTGGGCTATAACAGCAGAAAAAAAGGAGCGACTAGGCAGAACTGGAAGGCAAGATCAAATCAGTATCTTAGGATGCCTGCATACAAATGCAAGAAGCATGGGTAATAAGCAGGAAGAACCTGAAGCGCTAATAAACTAACACAACTATGACATTGTTCGTATATCAGAGAGTTGGTGGGATAATATGCATGATTGGAATACTGGTATAGAAGGGTATAGTTTCCTCAGGAGGAATAGGTGGGGGAAAAAAGGGGGGAGGTGATGCCTTCTATATTAAAAATGTACACACTTGGACTGAGGTGGAGATGGATGTAGGAGACAGACCTGT